TGCCTAACATTCTTGGTAACTTTATTTAGAAAAACGCATCTAACATCTTATCTCTCAGTTCCCTGATCATTGCAACAATCTTTACCTATTCCCCACCTAGGTCACTTTCTGCCACACTGTAAACCTTTCGTTCCAACACATACATTACTTCTAGAGCTCCTGTGTGTCAAGTCATCCCATTCTGACCACTCCACAACTTCTCTGACCACGTCTGCTCCTTTAATCCACTGATTGTACCACATTTCACTGTCCAACACTCTCCTCATGACTCAGCCCCTAGCTCAGAAGTTGTGGTTCCTGATTACACCCTCCCTTGCCTACAACTTCCACTTCCTTCTTTCTCTCTCCATCCATCATACTACCCTGGAATCCTGGGCAAACCTAACTCTCACAGTCAAGTAGCTGACCATTGGGAGAAGAAAAGCAGCAGCACCACCACCACCCCACCCCTGGCTAACTGCTCTCACTTTAAATTAATGCACACAAGTTTTCAGTGGGCCTTCAGCACTTCCCAGCAACCCTTCTACTTTGCACCCTGTCTCCTAGAATACTTCAAACCTTCTCCTCTCTAAGACTGAGCACTTGCCTAGCGGTCCTCAAACCTTTCCATCACTACTTCTGCCTTCTCTGGCACCTCTTTTCCTTATTCCAAAACGTGAAGGTATTCCCTTCTGCCCACCCAGGTTCAGTCTGTGGCCAAGATGCATCGCATCATCTCACCAAACACAGACTTCTTTGCCCTTGTTGCCTGGTCCCGCCTTGTAACTCAAATGTAGCTGCTTTACTTTCTGTGCTTGATCTAATCTGTCTCCTGAACATGGGGCTGTTTTCTACATAATTGATCTTCCTCATGAACACTCACCCTAGTAAATAGCCAGAAACTTTAAATTTGCCAAATAATAACTCAGTCTCCTCCAGTTAATATTCAGACACTTGAGTTTAACTCTTTACCGGACCTGGTTAAATAGCTGCTCTCAGGTTAAGTGTTTCTCCAAATGGGGCTTATGGAACACTGGTGGCAAGGAGACATTGGAAGACCACAGAGACTTGGTGTGCTACAAGGAGTCTCTGCTACAAGGAGGTGATCAAGTCTCATGGCTGCAATAGTGCCACCTCACCTTTTGGGACACCATGCTGACTCCCATCTCTGGCATCCATCTAGACTCACATAGCCCTTTGTCATGAAGCCTGCTGCTTCAGCAGGCCTGCAAGCTCCCCCCTACATCCCTCATAGTGGTAGGAAAGCATCTCAGAATCTCCTGCTACCATGGCTACCTACCTAAACGTTTCCTTCAGCCACTGCTGCTCCCATCTGGCACTGCACCAGCTTACATAGCTACCTCCTCTCAAGAGTCCACATAAGGAGTAGAGCCAAAGGCCGCCTACTTTTGACAGTTCCCTCAATCCACTAACACCCTCACCCCAACCCCACAGCTTTGGCCAGACAGGGAGAGACAAAACTTCTGTTTCTCACACTCTGTTCTCCTTACCTCTGTCCCCTTCCTTCTCACAATCTACCAGAGCTCAAAAATATAGACTTTCCACTTACAAGTCATCCTCCTTCCTCTTGAGAGGCACTAAGGCTCAAGCTTAGCCTTAATGATGGAAGAGATTTCTTCACCCTACAGAAGAAACTATCATCAGAGTTTAGCAGAGTTAACACTTGATATGAAAACTGCAGGCAACTTGGAACTTCATAGAAAACCAAAAACAAATACACGGTGCCTTAAAATTCTTGAAAATATTAACCCTACACAACTTCACAGTTAGCATCTCCTGTGTACTAGGCTCCAGGGATATAGCAAAGATTAAACATCAAGTCACTAAAGTATGGAGACCTATAAGCAAAATAATTACAGTGCAATTTTATGTTCTACATTTACCAAAACAAACAGAAAACACAAATAGCCCCTCTGTCAATCTTTTCCAGCTCCATGAATCTAAAAATGTGTGCAACAGCAGATAAAGGATAATATAAGTCATTTCAGGTCACAGCTTCACTGCCCTTTAAACTTTCTGCAATTTACATCATTTTCTTTTCCACTCACAACAGGAAAAACCAGACGCCAAGCCTTAACGAGAGGGAAAAAGTGAGAGAAGCCACTAAACAGGTTCAAATTTCTCTATTAATAAAGGTAAATATCCAAGAACTAAGGCACTAATCAAACCAGCGCAAAGTTAAAGGAGGTCAGGCAGAATCTCATAACAAATAAATCAGTTGGAGACTAATGAATTGTAATACTTTGCCTTTATTTTATCCCCCCCACCAACACACACACACACACACACAGAAGAGCTGTTAACTGTTACAAACTCATTATTTTCTTTCCCTTTCTTAATTCAAATGGAAGGGCAGAAAGGCAAGGAGAACTAGAGGAAAATTCTGCCAGACATTCACACTATGAAGAGCTTACTATGTGCCAGGTACTGGGGCTACTAACATTGATGTCTTATTTACTCTTCAGAACTTCACAACTGTTTTCACTTAGGAGGTGGTAAGTCACACAAAACTGTATCCCCCAATGATGGGCATTCAACAGCAGTAGAAAACCACATGAAACAATGCACAGAAGTCTGATTTCTCCAACGCTATTTTCAGGCTTCAGTGATTCCCAAGTAGGCACTTCAGAAACACAATCACTGAAGTGAAACTTCCACAAAGAGCCTCCTACCACAGCACAGGTGAACTCCACCCTCCCAACCCCTAACAAATGCAAGTGTATTTTCTGTGTAAAGTACTCATAAATAAGTGTTTGTTGGTATGAAAAACCAATCTGCTTGTTTGGTTCTGATGCTTGGTATTTACTGATTATCCCTTTGCCTCTGTTTAGGTGTGCTGATTTCCCACTATAGGAATACTGGTGAGAAGTAGAGCCTGCCTCCATTCTTAAAAGCCAAAAAGGTCCATACTCACTTCTCAACTTCCCTCACAGCTAGGGTGCACGCAGACAATCCCAGACACCCACTGAGGAGTCCAATCAGAAGCTAATAAATGCGATCACAAAGAAGCATGATTAAGAAAGCAACTTCCCGGCCATAACCAGCTTCCCGAGCAGCAAAACAGTGGTCATGGCAGTGGTGGCCAGTGCAGTGGCAGCAGCTGGGTCTGCTGTCATAGTCCTGATCATATATGCTGCAGAATCCGGCATTACCAGGCAGCGAAAGTGTTGTACTCCCCTGGCCCCAGCCCAGCTGCTTTTTTTCAAGTGCGATTATGACTTTCCTCGGAAAGTGGAACTTTCCTTGGCTCCTGCCCATTTTCAGAGCTGGGTTGCCTCTAGAATTAAAAGCAATGCTGAGAAAGCCCCAATACTTTCATTCAATCCCCCCACCACTGACCTTTTTGGCTTAAATCATTACCTCTCTTGCTAATGAAAAAAGTGGATAATGGACAGCAGTAATGAAACAGTATGGTAAATCAAGACACACCCCACCCACCAAGAGCTAGGTTTGTGTAGTCTGTTTTGGTCAACTCCAAGTCTCCTATGATAGCTCTGTTAATTCAGCTACTAATTTGCCACCACTATTCACTCCAAAACTTTTCTATTCCGACTACTAAATAACTTGGCACTCTGCTTTTACCTGCAAAATGACCCACATCTTCTCCACCAATTTATATTATAGGACCTAAGTAACAGTAAGTTCCCTACTTTGGACTTTGACTCCAGATCCACCTGCAAAGGACTTAACAGGATAAAGAGACCAGCTTTCTCTCATTTGTATGAATTAGAATCAAAGACCTATGACTTTCCATGCTGGAGGCCCTCAGCAAAAGTTAGCTCTTGAACGGAATGAGCTGCTTTTAACAGCAGTTTACAGTGCTCACTCCTCAACATAATTTTTTTTTTTTTTTTTCCTGCAAAGGACTTAACAGGATAAAGAGACCAGCTTTCTCTCATTTGTATGAATTAGAATCAAAGACCTATGACTTTCCATGCTGGAGGCCCTCAGCAAAAGTTAGCTCTTGAACGGAATGAGCTGCTTTTAACAGCAGTTTACAGTGCTCACTCCTCAACATAATTTTTTTTTTTTTTTTTGCTGTAATGATTACTTCAGGAAGCAACAGATACAACTATTATTCGGTTGGTTTAAAATACAAACTTAAATCAATCTGTCAAGTATGAATCAAATAAGGACGTTAATAGTCAAGCTACTGATAGGAGCGCTGCACTTACCTCCAGCTACCCAAATCCCAGACTAACAAGTCTGGAAGAGCAGTCAGGCAAAAATCACCCCCACCGTCTCAAGAAGCGCCCTTCTCCTTGGCTGACAAAAGGAGCGCAGTAACATTTGTTGCTTGGATACAATTCCTACGACTGTGCATATATATATGACACGTTGCCATAAACTGCTCTCACATAGCACTTTACATTATGCCACTGCCTCCAGGCTTATAAACAGTTACACGTGAGTTCTCACACCTAGATGGGTGGTTGAGAATTAGGCTTGCCGGTCAGTCATTAAATGCGAAGCACACCGCGGAATTTAGTAACTGCTGCTCCCACAGCACGGGACTGCCTATCTATTTCAGCCCTTCTGATACACTGTTGTTAATTCTCTCCCTCGCTTATCTGCTCGTTAAGGATTCTTAAGGAACGCCATTCATCTTCGTATCCCCAGGCCCAAGAGAACCTGGACCCTAGAAAGTGTACCCAACAGCAGGTCTTCGGCCCCGCGCAAGCCGATCCTTCCCTGCTCCCGCTCGCCCCGCCACCTGAGATTTCCACAGCCTCTCCAGTGAAGCCTGTAGAGCAGGACAGACTTTTTCCCCAGCAAAATTGCCCAACCCTCCTCTGAAGTCTGCCCCTGGTCCCCCATTCCCGCCGAAGCAGGCGGCGCGGGGTAGAGCTGCAGGGGCCAGGGCTCCAGCCCCCGGCTGTTACCGCGACGCGCCGCTAGGCACCCGTGCGGCACAGCCAGGCGGGGCCCCGGGGCGGCGCCCACGACGCCCCCAGACCCGCGCCGCTCGGGACCCGGGGGCGAGAGCGCTCCGTACTTACCCGAGGAGGCAGCGGTCGCAGACGACTGCGCGACTGCCCTTGCACACCGTGTACGCCAAGGGGTCTGAGCGGAACAGCAGCTCTCCCGGGCGCAGCGGAACCACGGCGCGCAGCCCGTTCCCCCGGTCGGCAGTACGGAACTTCTCCACCTTCAACTGCTCCATCGCCCTGCAGCACCGCTCCCAACGCGTCCGAAGCGTACGCAATTCGCGTCTCCCGGGCGGCAGTAGCGCACCGGCCCCCTGCGCGCACACGTAGCTGAGGGTACGGGCAGGCGGCGGAGCTCTGAGCATGCCCAGATGGGGCCGAGGCGAGCCGGCTGGAAGGCTCTGAGCATGCCCAGATGAGGCCGAGATGGGCGGGCTGGAGCGCTCTGAGCATGCGCAGTCGGAGAGCGGACCTAGAGGGCTACCCGGAGCTGGGACGATGACGCTCCTCTGCCAACCTAGCCTCAATTGTCTAGGCGGTTTTGCGAGGAGCGGCGGGAATTTTTTCCTGTTATGGTAATTTAAGGTGATGAAAAGTTGAGAGAACAGTGCAGAGGGAGTGTACACCCTCCATGTAAATCAAGCAATTATCAGCATTTTGCTATTTCTGCTCATTTCTCTCCCAGTCTGTATTGTTGGTGAAACACTGGAAAGTTAATTCTTGTGTTGCTGGGTTATTTAAAAGTGGCAGACATCATAACATTTCATAACTAACACTTTATATCATAACATGTCATAATTAAATACTGGGGCATACATTTCCTCAGATTAAGAATGATATCCTATAAAACTACAATATTATCACATCTAAGAAAATTATTCTTTACTAGCAAGCAAAACTATATTCATGTTAAGAATGACTTTTGTAACTTTTTACTAAAAACCAGGATCCAGTCAAAGGTCACTCATTTTCTTTTTCATGACATTGAGTCTTCTAAGATTCTGTTGGGTAAGAGTTTTGTATTTTCCTTCGTCCTTGTCCCCAATGCAAGAAAGAATTGAAGGGCAGAGACACAGTAATGAAGCAGAGTAAAAGTTCTATTTAAACTTACTTAGAGAGGAAGAGCAGCAGGCAACCTCAGCCAGGAGAGGTGCCGTGAAAGGTTGGAGAGAAAAAGCTTAAGATTGAAAGGTTACACACTTAGAAAGTGTGGGCGACCTCTGAGAGAGGAGCACTCCAAAAGGTTGGGGGTTCCCTCTTTTAAGGATTCTTTAGGAATGCGACTAAGGGCTGGGGCTGCAGACTTGTTAAGTGGTCTTTGAATACTTAGAATTAACTTAACACAAGGAACTTCCTGCTCTGATTTCTCCCTGCGATTCTGGCATCTTGGTCTGGGAACAGATCAAACAAGAGTACCTGCCCAACCCCCAAGGTGGGCTGAGTTTTTGTCTGTTTACTAAAGAATAAGTTAAGAATCTTAGATTTTTAACTTCCTGGGTATTAAAACAAGTCTTTATGATGGAATCCTTCCTGCCTTTTACTATGTTGTTTATAGCTGGGCCTGCATGAATAACACAAGACATGGGCTATGCTGAGGTGCCCTCCTTTATCTGGGGAATATTCAAACTTCCAGGCCAAGTTGTTCCTGGCTTTTTGAGCTTTAATTGATTAATTTGGGGTCTTTTTAGTGGACTTTATGGCCTTTTTCTCTTTCCACCCCGCTCATATCTATTTTCCTGCCTAACAATTCTAAGCTGGGAGTTTGCAAAATGTTCCACATTCTGTGGGTCTGGTTCTTTTCTCCTGGTGTTCTTTAACTTGTTCCTCTATTCCCTGTATTTCCTGGAAACTGCAAGCCAGAGCTATGCATTGAAGTCTGAGGCCTCAGTTGATTCAGGTTGTGTGTTTTTGTTTTTGTTTTTAGCTGTACAGATTCACTTCATACTACATCACATCACATCCGAATGGGCATGATGTTAGGTTGCCCCATTATTAATAAAACTAAGTATGATCAGTTAGTTAAAGCAGTGCTGCTAGAAGCCTTAATTGTAAAGGTACATTTTACCATTGCAGCTTGTAGGTAGTCTGTGGGGTGATACTCTGGCACTAAGAATAGTCTGATTCCAACCACCTGGAGAGACAGACACTTCCTGAGGTGGTCTAGTGGAATGAGGAGTGGACCAGGATTTCAAGCAACATAGAAGTGAGTCCTGATTCTGCCATGTGACCTTAGGTTAACTTTTCAAATCATGTTTATTAACTTTATAATGAAGATGATAATACCTTCAGAGTAATGAGAATAAATCCTGTGAAAGTATTTTGAAAAATCTTTAAAGCACTATACAAATGTAAGGAATCATTGTTTTGAGTAAAACTTTTAAGACTGTAAGTATAGGATAATGCCTGCACACAATATTCTACCAGCACTACTAGTATAATCATTTCATACCCATTCTTAGTGTTAAGCATTATATAGAAGGAACTCAAAAATTGTTTACTGAAATAAATATAAATAGCATATATATATGGAGTTTCATAAAACCAGGGGCTAATTCTACCATGGAATATTTCTAATTACTAAAGAGTGTGAGAGAGTTTTCAAGGAAAACATCATGCTGGACCCTGTACTAAGAGATGAGATGACCCAGTCTTTTATATTCCAGGGTGTGATTTCCAGCTACCTAGACAGGACTATATCCCCTACTATATGTTTTGTCTCCCCCTCCCCATGACCCAGAAAGCCAAGTGCCCAAATTGTATAGGAATGTCCTATTCCTTCAGTCTAACCTCCTAGCCTGTGCATATATGTGGTTTTCATTTCCCATTTCTTGGAACTTGGATATAGGGATGGTGGTGAGCCATTTCCCATGAAGAAAAGCGCATTATCTCAGAAAGTGATGGAATTAGAAAGGAAGATCCCTATACCCCTAATTTTTCACCTGGTTGGACCTTTCCATGGGAAACACATCTTATTTAAATAACCCTTATTTTGTTCTATGTTAAAGAGACAGAACAAATGTCATCATATGCCAGCCTCTTTTGCAGCTAGGGTGCTAGTACAAGACCTGAGCTCTGCCCATCAAACCCACCCATTTCAGAGTTGTGGAGACCTTGAGAAGCTCTGAAAATTCTAGTTGCTAGCAACTACTTTGAATGCACCTAAAATAAAATGGATTAATAGATGGATAAATGGATAGACATAGAATAAAGCTAGTAGAGTAAAATGATACAGACAGAATCTGTGATGGAATACAGTGTTCACTCTAAATTCTTTCCATTTTACAGTATGTTTAAAAAGGCTCAGAATAAAATGTTGAAGGGAAAATATATCACCTTTAGAAATTCTTATAATAGTTTCATCAATGGTTTGTTTGGGGGATGTTTTTAGAGTTGGTTTAATTCAGAATTCAAATGAGGTTTGCACACCACATGTGGTTAATATATTATATATCTTTGCTATTGTTTTTTCATTCCCTGCTCATTGTTATTGTTGGGGGTACAGTAGGACCCAGGACAGCAAAGAGATGCCTGAACCAAGGGCCAAGTTTTTTCAACAGAGCCAAGAGAAAGAAGTTAAGGACTCTGATTCAGCTACTTGCACTAGAAAATATCATGTACTGCCAGAAAAGCTGTATCCAAGAGGCTGTGAAAAGAGGTCTCTATTTGGACCCATATTTACAACAGGGACCCAAGGCTTTTGATCTCAGAAGCGAACATTGGGCATCAGGAATTTCCATCAGCAGATATCTACAGACATGGGGGACAATTTCAGGTGTGAAAATTCCCATCTTCTTCCACTAGTAAATGGTGCTTTGCTCACAATTAACATGTAGAGATTTAACAAATGAATGAATGGCTGGGCTCGGTCCCTATTTTTCTAGGTTATCTGTCTTGGAATTGGGTGTGGCACTGTGTGACTAAGGAGTGCACCATCAAGAAAGGCATGAGCTCCCCAGTTGGAGGTTCAAGGCAGAAAAAGAATGTAGGGCTTCAGTTATCCAGATGCTTTGTGAGGCCAGGACAACACCATGAGGAGCCACAGAATGTAAAGCTGGAATGAGTTAAACATTTCCTGATTTGGGTCTAGGGCACTAAGCCTGAAATTGAGGATCTTTGGGCCCTAATTCTGGGAGAGAAGAGGGCTTTGAGAACTGGGAAGCTACTCCAAGCCTAGCATTTTTCTTACCAAGCAGGTCACTGACTGTCCCATGCATGACCCTGTGAACAAAAGCTAAGGAAACTTCAGAATCAGAGGCCCTCACTGTAAAAGCCCCTTTCCACAGACCTCTGTTTTCCTCAATAGACAAAGGAAGGAAGCAGCAGCCTTAGGTATGTGCAAGCTATGGAGCCCTGCCCTAACCTGGGGATCACCTCCATTCCCTGGTGACAGTCTCAAAGTTACCAGCACTACCTATACATCCACCAGCCCTCAGTGATGGTCCAGTTATCTTTGACCACAAGGAGAAAGATCTAAATATATCATTGCTTTGGAGCCACTATGACCCTGGCTTCACTCACCAACCCAGGACCAACCTGGCAGAGGTAGAGTCCAGGGAGTGGAGAAAGACCAGGTACTTATGTTGGGAGAGCATTGTATATTTGCCTCGGTCCCTGTCCCTGCCATGACAAAGAATTGAAGGGCAGAGACACAATAGTGAAGCAGGTAAAGTTTTATTTAAAGTTACTTAAAGGGAGAAAAAGTACAACCAGGCAACCTCAGCAAGGAGAGGCACCCTGAAAGGTTGGAGAGAGAGTGTGGGCAACCTCAGAGAGAGTAGCACCCTGAAAAGTTGGGGTATACCACTTTTAAGCATTTTTCAGGAATGTAACAAAGGGCTGGGGGGTGCAGACTCATTAAGTGGTCCCTGAATATTAAAAATTGACTTAGCACAAGGAATTTACTGCTCTGATTTCTTCCAAAGATAACTGGCATTTTGGTCTGGGTGCATAACAAACAAGACCACCTGCCCAGCCCGCAAGGTGCACTGAGTTGTTGTCTGTTGCTAAAGAGTAAGTTAAGAATCTTACTTGTAACTTCCTGGGTATTAAAATACAATCTTTAAGATGGAATCCTTCCTGCCTTTTACTATGTTGTTTATGGCTGAGCCTGCATGCTAAATTAGTTGTCTAGGTTACAAACTACTTGATTAGGGCCAGAAGGAGAAAAAGCAGCATATAGATAAAGTTAAAAAAATAAGCTGGGCCTGCATGTTTAACACACTAAAGACATGAGCTATGCTGAGGTACCCTCCTTTATCTGGGGAATATTCAATCATTCCAGGCCAAGTTGCTCATGTCTTTTTGAGCTTTAACTGATTAACTCTGGATCTTTTTAGTGGATTTCCCTGGCCTTTTTCTCTTTCCATCTGCTCATA